GAGAAAAGACAGTGAGACGCTTCCAGAAAGACACCCTTAGTGCTCCAAACATTTTACTATGCTTTTAAAGGAGCTTTTCCTCGTTTTTCCCTCCTCAACTTAGTCAGGGTCTTTTTAAGACGGAATCTTTTCTGTTTGCTCAATTGTTCATAACCAACAACTCGTCTTATTTTCAGAACAGACTTTATAAAAAGATCAACATCTGGAAAAAACTCAGTGACTTCCACAGACTGCATACTAAATGTCTCATCCAAAAAGCGGTTTATATTCTCTAAGGAATACGACTGCTGATGGTCTTCATGTGAAACAACATCAGAGCATTGTGACAGGGAATCATCTTCCAACAAGTCGTCTTCCTCATTTTCCGCGCTCAAAGAACTTGAAACTACATTCACAATACCCACCTCACTTGCCGTTACTTTGGTCTGTCTACTGTCCTGATTTTCCTCCCCACTTTCCCTGTCCTGTATGTCATCACATCCATTCTCCACCTCATTAGTCCCGTGTACTATCCCCTGTTCTTCTAGCCCAGCCTGTGGAGCACTGGCTGCGACCTCCATTCTGTCACCCTGCACTGCTAGCGGCTCGCCGATGACAGCGCTGCTCGTAGACGGCTGCTCGTCCGCACCGCTATGAGCAGCGCTGTGCAGGTGTCGTGCCAAACTAGGTATCCCCGACAGAATATGTTTCCCCTGCATCGGGATCACACGCTGGACTGTCCAAATCACAGACAAACAGTATCCCACATTGCTGATTTTTAGTTTACAAACACTTCTTATTATGACTAACTACTCCTGACATTTTTGAAATGTTAGCTCGTTATACAACAAAGTTATAGTGGGATACAAATAATATCAGGCTGATCCTGCCACAATTTGTTCTCCCTGTGTAAATCACGGACAAACAGTATCCCACATTGCTGATTTTTTGTTCACAAACACTTATTATTATGACTAACTACTCCTGAAACTTTGGAGGATTTAGCTCTTTATATAGTAAAGTTACAGGAGAATAAAAATAGTTATCAGCCAAAATGTTAATGGTTTATTAAAATAATCCCATCTGATACTCCGTGAGCAATAAATATATAATTTTCTGTTGTAACCTTCAATCTGAATGGTAATGTAACGATACTAATTTTTCACTTTTTCACTAAATGAAAACATCAGTACTTCCTGCGTGCTCCCAGCACAGGGGAAACAAATTCTGTCGGGGATACCTAGTTTGGCATGACACCGGCATCTACAGCGCGCTCCTGCTCACTCGCCCCACTAGCATGAGCCTCTTGTTCACGGCGCACCTCCTGCTCTTTGTGAGGGCAGGATGAGCGTTTATGGCCAACATCACCACACTCAAAGCACTTCATGCTACCTGCACTGGCGTAAACAGTATATAAGCCGTTTTCATATCTTACTTTAAATGACACTTCCAGTGTCTGTGAAGGATCGTTCAGGTACATGAAGGCCTGCCTTCTTAGTGACTGAACGTGCTGCAGTCTGGTGTCTTTGCAGCCAAGACGAACAACCCTGAACCTGCTAGCAAACTTTCCAAAGCGGGTCAGTTCCTTTTCAAGTAGCTCATTTGGGATGAACGGCGGGTCGCCGGACACGGTGACCCGCGTAGATGACACAAACAGTGGCAAAACAGCCTCAAACAAATCATCCAGAATGATCCCCCTTTCAACCAACAGGTGAACCAAGCGCTCCAACAGGTGAACCAAAAGCAATCACAGCCTTGTTCATCTGAGAGCCATAAGT